TCTGTCTTTGGCCCAGGTCATGATCTCGGGGTCCTGGATCGAGCTACGCATTGGGCTCTCTGCTCAGCGGGGAGCTTGTTTCCCCCCTCTCTCTGCCTGCCTCTCTGCCTACTTGTGATCTCTCTCAAGTAAATAACATCATAAAAAAAAGAATCTTAAAAAAAAAATAATGCACTGGGGGTGCCTGGGTGGCTCAGTCAGTTAAGTTTCTGCCTTCGGCTAAGGTCATGATCCTGGGGTCCTGGGATCGAGTCCCACGACACACTCCCTGGTCAGCGGAGAGCTTGCTTCTCCCTCTGCCTCTGCCCCTCCCTCCACTCATGCTTGCATTTGCGTTCTCTCTCTCATGTTCAAATCAATAAATAAAATCTTAAAAAAAAAAAAAAAGCACCGATCCGATCTAGCAGCTCCATTTCTGGGTGGATATTTAAAAGAATTGAAAACAAAGTCTCCAAGAGATGTCTGTATACCTGTGTTCACAGCAGCATTACTTACAGTAGCCAAAAGGCAGAAGCAACTGTACATCAAGAGATGAGTGGATAATCCCAATGGGTACACACAGAGTGGAATATTATTCAGCCTTAAAAAGGGAGGAAATTCTGACTCATGCAACCGCATGGATGCACCATGAGGACGTTATGCCAAAGAAAAAATGCCATTCACAAGGAAAAACACTGCATGAGTCCATGTCTATGAGGTAGCTAGAGCAGTCACATTCATAGAGACAGCAGAATGGCCAGGGGCTGGAGGCAGGGAGGATGGGGAGTTAGTGTTTCATAGGGGCAGAGTTTCAGTTTGGGAAACTGGAGAGAGGCCTACATGAATGGGGTGATGGATGTAGAAAGGGCTAAGTCTAATGGTTGAGGCGTTCATAGTAACTTTTACTTAGTGGTGATGTAATGGTAACTCCGTTATGTGTATATTTTACCAAAATCTTAAAAAACAAAATAAAAAATTTTTAATACAAAAAAAAAAAGAAAACATACTCAAATTTAATACAGAAAAAGGAAAACACACTCAAGTTTCCTAAGATACTATAAAGGAGTATACACCCCACCCTAATAATCTGATGGCAAAGGCTTCTCCCCACCTGGAAAGATTTTGAAAGGGGCCACGCATAAAGCTTGCCCACAGCTGGTGCTCCTGCCTTCAGGGCCATGTGGTGCCAGTCCGTTCCGAGCAGAGGCAGAACAGTCCAGTCTGCACACAGTCCAGCACAGATTCCGGGGGCTTTGTGATTCAGTCCTGCAGGGGTGGCTCACCCTCTGAAGAAACACTTTTCTCCTCACCAGGTGCCTTGGAGTCTCTCCTCATGGACTAAAACCTGCGTTTCCTGGCCATGTCCCAGACCAACGATAGCGCCAAAGAAGCCAAAACAAAACCAGAACAGTCCTCAGCTTTCCTTGGAGATTCCCTTAGGAATCCTCCTCAGACAAGCCAGAGGTGATATCCCGGCTCCGTTCACTCGCTGTGCTTGTCCCTCCACATCTTAGACCTCAGTTTCTTCATTTACAAGATGGAGCTTCATGGGGTAGTTAGGGAATGAAATAAGAGCATTGGCTACATTTTTTTCTGTTCTTATTGTTTGTTGAGACGTCTACTCAGACTTCACTTTAGCAACGAAGATCTTAAAAACTTTGGTCCAGGGGTGCCTGGGTGGTGCAGTGGGTTAAGCCTCTGCCTTTGGCTCAGGTCATGATCTCAGGGTCCTGGGATCGAGCCCCACATTGGTCTCTCTGCTCAGCAGGGAGCCTGCTTCCTCCCCTCTCTCTGCATGCCTCTCTGCCTACTTTGATCTCTCTCTCTGTGTCAAATAAATAAATAAAATCTTTTTAAAAAATGAGGTCCATATTACCACTAAAAACAAAGAAAACCACCCTTAAATCAGTAACAACCATGACTAGGATGTTGTGACTAGGATGTTGTTAGAACTGGGCAGGGAAGAGGGATGCCCCAGGCCAGCTTCAGTTAGGGTGACCCATAGGCCCCTACTATGTGTTGGTTCCTCTTTGCTCTGATGGGACCAGAAATCTTCCTCAGAACAAAAACAACAAAAGCAAAAACATCTGCATCATCCAGGGCTTGGGAGACCCTCAGATTGTCTCCATTCGTTCCTCATTATTTTCTTTAAACACTGGGGTTAAATATATATATATAAAACAGGTGGTGATTTGCTTTTATTAAGACACTTTGCCTCATTAAATTCAGGTAACTTGGAAGGGATGTGGGAAATTTGGGCAGGGTATGTGGAAATGCAATGATTAGAGAATTGGACACTAGGGCTTACAACATGGCAAAGACAGCTTTAGAAAATCTTAGGCTGACCACACTTTTGAGTGATGTGAAAAATTTACATATGTTCCTGCCACACTTCTGACTCAGCGCTCAGAACTGCGCTCCAAACAGTCTCATAGTCTCCCCCAGTCACACGAACAAACTCCCTTTCACACGCCCATACACAGAAGACTTCACTCACACAAGCCCGCATTCACCCAGTTGTTGACTCTGGTACTGTCCACACAGACACCTTTTCATGCTACTCCAACAGAGAAACCCAGCTGCCCACCAGCACGGGCGCCTTTGTTAGCTGCACACTTAAGCCACATCCTGGTGTTCAGGACTCCTTCCCTCAGGTTTGTCTGAATGCTGTTGCTGCTTCTTTGGCTTTCTGCCAAGTTCTCCACATAAATTCCCTGCAGCAAGTATGTATCTGGTGACCATGCCCTGTTGGGCACTGTCATGACCCCTGGGAGCAACAGAACTGAGGAAGAGGTGGTCTTTGCTCTCGGGGAATTCAGAGTCTACTGGAGAAGGGGGATGGTGGCGGGGGCGGGCAAGGGGAAACAGTGTAAAAATCTAAATATCTGGGGTGAGGCTGGTCCTAAAACTGAGGTAGGCATAAGGAAAAAGGATGGCGAAGGGCAGGGGGGGAAGTGAAGCCACAAGGAAGAGAAAGTGTCTTTAACCTGGAGAGGTCAGGAAAGACAGGTGTTGATGAGACAGGAGTGCTTGAGAATAATCTTGAAAAGTTAAAAAGATTTTGCCAGGTGGGGAAGGAGGAGAGGTTGCTCACCGGAGAGGTTGTGAAGAACGGGAGAATCCGCATGGCATGGCCAGGGTGTGATATGCCAGAGGAAAGAGGGGAAGACAGGGTGGAGGCGGGAGGACTGGGAGGTAAAACAGGGCAGATGATGAAAATGCTTTTTTGCTTTGCAAAGGAACTTGGAATTTACTCAACATTCAGTGGTGAGTCACAAAGGGTGCTTTTGGTGGCAACAAACAGGAAAAGTTGATTTGGAGGCAACCAGTAACAAAACGAATTAACTCATGTAACTGGAATCCCAGAGTAAGGGCACGATATGCTCAGTGTCATCAGAGGCCCAGGTTATCCTCACCTGTTTCCTTTTCTGGCCTCATTATGTTGCTCACGATCACAAAATGGCTGCAGTGGCCTGAGGCACTGCATCCTCACATAGTATCCAGAGGCAGAAAAGAATTACCTCTCTTTTTTGTGTCTCCGTGTGTGTGTGTGTGTGTGTGTGTGTGTGTGTGTGTGTCTCTCTCTTTTTTTTACTTACATAATCTCTACACTGTAAAATGTGGGGCTCAAACTCATGACTCCAAGATTAAGAGTTGTATGCTCTTCCGACTGAGCCAACCAAGAGGCCCTCTTTTTGTCTCTTTTTTAAAAACTAAGAATCCTGTTCCAGAATCTTCCCCATTCCAGTGAGCTTCCTTTCACTCCTCAAGTTCATATATCCTTTCCCAAATGAATGATTAGCAAGAAGATGGAGTCCAGGGGTCCTGCAAGCCCATGACTGACAGACTGGACAGGACTGGACAAAATCTTGGCTCTGTTGGCAGAGGGGGTGCTAGTCCCCTGGAGAGGTGAGGGTGGTGGTATGACGCAATCAAATTTGCAACGCAGAAAAGTGATTGGGACAGTAGTTTGCAGGATAAGAGAGAGAAATGAGAGTGGAGGCAGGAAAACCAGTATTAGAGGTGTGAAATGATAGCCTCTATCAGGGCAAATGCATTCAGGGAAAAGGGGACTAGAGTGGATGGTATTTAAAGATTTCATTTATTATTTATTTATTTGGCAGACAGAGATCACAAGCAGGCAGAAAGGCAGGCAGAGAGAGAGAGAGGAGGAAGCAGGTTCCCCACTGAGCAGAGAGCTGGATGCGGGGCTCGATCCCGGGACCCTGGGATCATGATCTGAGCTGACGGCAGAGGCCCAACCCACTGAGCCACCCGGGTGCCCCAGATGGTATTTAAGACGTGGAAGAGATGGAAGTCTGATGGCCGATGATGAGCGAGGAGGAGCTGGGTGACCCCTGGTTCCTCAGGGCACTCACACTTTCCTGTGCCAAATTCACCCAAGAGACCTCAGCACAGCCGCTCCGGGCCTCTCCAAAAGAAGCACTTTCCAAACTTGTCGAGATCCCTCGGAGAGTGGGGGCCCATGTTGACTAGACGCATGTGGTTCCTTCTGCCATAAACTCACCTTCCTCTTTGAAATCTTTTAACCCACTGACAGTTCCTTTGCTGCCTCTCCCACTCGTTTTTTTTCATGACCCTCATCTGTAAATCTGCACCTGCCTTAGGCTTCTTAGGCCAGAGAATTTCAGAATGGAGTGCCTGGGATCTCGCTTGGTGTGTAGGCCACAGACCATTTTAAGAAGATCAAGACCTAGGTCCCCAATTTCCATACATTCTCTTCCCAAGTCTGTTCTGTCCCAGAATGTGCCTGGATAGAGGTGTGGGTTCTCCTTTCTACATCTAACAAAAGACCTTCCAAAGTCTTTCTGAATCTTATTGAGATTTATTGCTCCAGGGAGTAAAACCCTTCAGAATTATCTGCTCTGAGGAACTTCTGGTAAGAATAAAGTCAAAAGAATGTCAGAGGGAAAAGCCATAGGCAAGGGGATTGATGTCATCGCAGAGGCAAACCCAAGGTAAGGCTCTGTGCCTTACCTATTTATCTTAGAAGCAGAACTCAGAAGATGGTTGTCCTAGGAGGTATATTCGCAAATTTATTTAATCTGAAAAAAAAAAAAAAAAGTCAGACTTTTGATGACAGCAAGGCTGCAGGGGGCTGGTTTGATTTTATAATGGAGCGACACAATATTCTTTGCAATCTGGTTAGGTGGGATGTCCCCTGAAGCAATGGACAAAATACACAGCTTCCACTGTTTTATAAAATTAATGGGAGTTATGCTTGTGATGAAATTTTTGTTAAAATATTTTATTAGCGGGGCGCCTGGGTGGTTCAGTGGGTTAAAGCCTCTGCCTTCAGCTCAGGTTATGATCTCAGGGTCCTGGGATTGAGCCCCGCATCGGGCTCTCTGCTCGGCAGGGAGCCTGCTTCCCCCACCCTCTCTCTCTGCCTGCCTCTCTGCCTACTTGTGATCTCTGTCTGTCAAATAAATAAATAAAATCTTTAAAAAATATTTTATTAGCAAATAATAATTTAATAATAAATAATTTTAGAAGTCTTGAGAAAATCCTTATTCTATTTTCCAGAAACTGGGAGAACAAATGAATTTAATGACAGGTAACAAATCCTTTTCCAACTCCAGTGGTTTCCAATTCTGTGTTTTGATCAAAATTGAAAGAAGGCCTAAAAGACCTGTCAGCTGATAGGTCTTTATAAATAATATTTCATGATAGATCACTAGAGATTTTTGGCTTATAACTCAGAAGACTTTAAAAGAATTGGGTGACAGCTACTGTACTAAAAATCCTTGTCTCATCTATGTATTTACAAGAAAAATACATAGTTTCATCAGTTCATCAGTTCCATCAGCTCTTCTATCAATAAAAATGAAAAAATAGGAAAAATGATGTTGCTGAATCTTGTCCCAACCTAAAAAGAATACTCAACCACACATACATAATCTAATTTGCAAACAATGACACTCATTTCACAAAGAAGTGTTTAATGAAACACCTATAAGTCATCAACTGTTGTTTCTAATTTAGTAAGTAGTAATTATGTTGTTTGATCAGTTATGCACTAATATTAACTGTAATGACAACTCAATCCAGAAGAAAAAATTCTAACACCAGTGATTATGGTTTCAGAAAAAAACCCCAAACACCAAAAAACACAAAACACTGATAGAGAAGTGTGATATGGTGATAAATAAATTACTTACGAGCTTAAAGATACACCGCATTAGGAAAATACTTTGTGAAGAAGTGGAATGGAAAGGCTCTAGGGTCTTGCTACTTGCCATATCAGCCCAACAGATTGCAAATAAGGGTTCAAGGAGGAAGAGGGAAGTACACCAAATTTCCAAGTGTTAAAGAAGAGCATGTTCATGCATTTTTTTTTTTTTTGAAGAAAATGGGTGATGGTGGCTGTGAAATCACTACTGTATTTGGATTCCCTTCCATATATTTAAAAGAGCAATATGGTAACTCTACTTAAAAATGTGAATGCCTATAATATGCCTAAAGTCACTTGTAATTATTTAAATGTATAAGCAAACTGTAGCTACCACCTTAAAAGGTGTGAGGAGATGGGATGCCTGGGTGGCTCAGTTGGTTAAGCCGCTGCCTTCGGCTCAGGTCATGATCCCAGCGTCCTGGGATCGAGTCCCACATCGGGCTCCTTGCTCAGCGGGAGCCTGCTTCTCCATCTGCCTCTGCCTGCCACTCTGTCTACCAGTGCTCACTCTGACAAATAAATAAATAAAATCTTTAAAAAAAAAAAAGGTGTGAGGAGAATCCCAGTTTGTTTTTTTTTTTTTTTTTTTTTTTTTTAAGATTTTATTTATTTGACAGAGAGAAATCACAAGTAGGCAGAGAGGCAGGCAGAGAGAGAGGAGGAAGCAGGCTCCCCGCGGAGCAGAGAGCCCGATGCGGGGCTCGATCCCAGGACCCTGAGATCATGACCCGAGCCGAAGGCAGAGGCTTTAACCCTCTGAGCCACCCAGGCGCCCCAGAATCCCAGTTTTTAAAAAACAAATTTTTTTAAAGTAGGCTCTACATCAACACAGGACTCCAACTCATAGCCCTGAGATCAAGGGTCATGTGCAAGTGACTGAGCCAGCCAGGCATTCCTTAAAATTTTTTTTTTTTTTTTAGACCTTGATGTTGAAAAAACATGACAGTCAACAACTGCAGAAATCAAAGTGAACCCAAATTTTTATCGACATACACCAAGTGCTGGCCATAAAACAAGTCTCCATAAATTTCAAAGGACTGAAGTCATGTAAAATTGATTTTCTGACCATACATTTTATTGCAAGAGTTATCTGGAAAATCCCTATCTGGAAATTAAACAACATACTTCTAAATAACACATGGGTCAAAGGAATCACAGGGGAGTTCAGAAACCAATGACAAAAACACAACATATCAAAATTTGTGATATGTAACTAGAGGGGTACTGACAGAGTACTCTATGACTTTAAATGCTTATATTAGAAAAGAAGAAAGAAGAAAGAAGAAAAGAAATAAGCTTATTAGAGTTAAACTTCCCTCTTAAGAAGCTAGAAAAAAGGGGCACCTGGGTGGCTCAGTGGGTTAAAGCCTCTGCCTTTGGCTCGGGTCATGGTCCCAGAGTCCTGGGATCGAGCCCCACATCTGGCTCTCTGCTCCGCAGGGAGCCTGCTTCCTCTTCTCTCTCTCTGCCTACCTGCGATCTCTCTCTGTCAGATAAATAAATAAAATCTTTAAAAAAAAAAAAGAAGCTAGAAAAAAATAAAACCAATAAGAGAAAAGAAGTAATAAAGAGTGTAAGTCAATTAAATAGAAAATGGACAAGCGGTGGGGGGGAACCAATGAAAACCAAAGCTGGTTCTTTGAAAAGATTAATAAAATCAATAAAAAGAGAAAAAGAGAAAATGTGAGCTTCCGATTTTAGGAATGAAAGAGGGTCATCAATACACAGCACAGAAACAGGAATAGATTAAGAACAGGATATTATGTGCAGCTTTCTGCCAATAAATCTGGCAGCTGGCGTCAAATAGAAGATCTGAATAGCCATATATCCATATATCTATCTGTAAAGAAAATGAAGCTGTAATTTAAAACTTCCCACAAAACTCCAGGCTCAGAGAAAACTGTTAGTTCTGATATCTTCACCAGTGAATTTTATCAAACATTTGCAGAAGAGATGATGTGAAATCTTACACACAGTCTCTGAGAAAGAAGAGGAGGAGAGAATACTCCCAAACTCATTCTAGGAGGCCAGTATTACCTTGACACCAAAACCAGTAAAAGATATTCCAAAGTAACTACAGACCGGTCGCCAGGAACACAGACCTCAAAACTCTAAATAAAATAGGAGAGGTACAATTCAGCAGTAAATAATCAGGATAATCCAGTATCACTAAGTAGTGTTTACTCCAGGAATACAAGGTGTGGGTTTCACATTTGAAAGTCAATCAAGGTAATTTATCATATTATCATATCATAAAAGAAAAAAATCATAGGATTATCTCAGTAGAGGCAGTAAAAACATTTGACAAAAAAGCCAGTTACAGTAACGACAAGCCAAGCTGGTGAACAGGCTAGAAGGAGAAGGAAATGATCTCATTCTGATAAAAGACACCTGCAGAAAACCAACTGCTGACACCACACTTAGTGAGAGACTACACTTTCCCCGAGATGGTACTCTTCCACTTCTAAGCAACCTCTTACAACAGTCTTCAGTTGCTGCGCTAAGGGAACATAAAGCATCCAGATTAGAAAGAGAGAAGGAAAACTCATTCACTAACAACATGACTGCATACATAGAAAATCCTTAAGTATCTATAAAAGCCTACTATAAAAAGGAAATTGAACAAGATTGCAGGATAAAAGGTCAACACAAAAATATATAGCATTTGTATATATTAGCGCTAAACAGAAAATAAAAAATCTAAATTCCATTTAAAAAAACCCCATAAAATACTTAGGGATAAATTCAACAAAAGTTGTGCAGAGCCTCTCTACAGAACAGTATGAAACATTGTTGCAAGGCATTAGAGGATCAAAATAAATGGAAAGGAACATTATGCCCCTGATTGGAAGACCCAGTACTGTTAATATTGCAATTCTCCCCAAATTAATCTCCCTAAAGTGCTTCTAAAATGTATATGGAAGTAGAGAAGCATGCAGAATAACAAAAGAAGAAACACACAGTTGGAGGTCTTATGCCATGCACTGTTAAGACCTAAAAAAGTGATAGAAATCAAGACAATTGTTATTGACTTAAGGGGAGACAAACCGATAAGGAACACAATAATCACACAGAGACGGTGATTTTTGACAGACACAGCAAAGCAATTCTATGGAGAAAGGAAAAATTTTTGTCAAATGGTGCTGGAACAATTGGATATCTGTAAGAAGTAGAAACAGAATGTTGACTCCGATCTCATACCATACACAAAAATTAGTTCAAGGTGGATTATATAACACTCACATAAGAAAATAGAGATCTTTGAAACCTTGAATGAAGTATTTAAAAATTTGTAACTGACAAAATATTGTATCGAAAACATAAACAATCTCTAATAATAACACAGACCAATAAAAAAAACAATGAGCAGAAGACTTAAACAGAAACTCTACAAAGGAATACATACAAATGGCCAATAAGAACATGAGAAAGTGCTCAACATCCTTAGTCACCTGGGAAATGCAAACCGAAACCATAATGTGATATGGTTTTATTAACACTCACTCAACCGGCTAAATTAAAAATAGTAACACTACCAGATGTTGGTGAAGATGTGGAACAACCAGAACTGGTCTACACTGCTGGCTCCTCATACTCTCGATTTTGAGCCGTAAAGGCGACATTTCAACCTTCACCTACTGCTCCGTCTTGTTCTTAAAATTTGTGTAGGACCCCAGTGAGGAAAAGGGGGTCCTCAGCGATCTTATCTCTAAAATGCTGATAACCACCCCCACCACCACCATGAGGTTGAAGGTTGTCCTGAGAATCAAATGTAGTGATTCTGGCCTTGAGGCCAGACAGACCCCCTGTGCGATCACACATAAGCTCGCTCTCATCTTTTTTTTTTTTTTTTTTTAAGATTTTATTTAT